CGCTGCCATTCACGGGCTTCCGTTGCCACTGTGAGGCTTGAAACAAATACGATGTAAACAATATAGCACTCTGACTGGAAGGTTCGACTCCCGACGGTGGCAGGATTTTCGGCACTAACTTGTCGGCATTCAGGTCGAATTCAGTCGTTGTCAGAAGGAAAATTCTAGCGGCCAGCTACTCTGATCGGTTGTTTTCCCTGGTTTCTACGTTCAACAGCAGGCGAATGCCGGAGTAGTACCCTAACAAACGGGCTGTGGGCCGCGCGCGCTCATTCCTTCCTCTTCCTTGTCCTTTCCTCACCCCTTACCCGCACACTAACACGCACTACACTACCATAGATGCCGGGAGATCGATCGAGAGTTTAGAGCTTGTCCCGGCTGGGGCAGTGTCCCACCGTTAGGGGGAATCTGGTTGGGGAAAATCCCGCAAGCCGACGGTAGACAGGCGCCGGATTGCGCCATCCAGACCTCCGCCATCTCCCGACTACCGAATAATGACTCTGTTATTTGACGCGTCATCAACAATCAATCAATCAATCATTAAACAATACATGGCACCTTCAATCTTTCTCATACTTTTAATAGGCGACAACTGCTCACTAGCAAACCTAGAAACGACCTGGAAAATCAATGCAAATTCAAATTTCAATACATACACAATAATTTTGGAATAACTCTACGAAACGTACGTAAACATTATCGTAAGTAAACTAAAAATCTTTCAGTCTTATCCACTTCGTACCTGATATCAGGTTGACAGATGGGGCCACGAGGAGCACTAGCTTCTAGTGTCTCCCATTAAATCGCCGAGTGTTCTGTATTGTCTCTGTAGTATTTGCTTGAAATACGCCAGTGCACGAGTCGAGCACTTCGGCGCAAGCGTAGATTTAAATCAATTAGGAACGAGAAAGAGCACCACATATGTACGCCTAGGAGTCCGTCTTGGACTTGATTTAAGAGAATCAACAAGTACTCGGGAACATGAGCGTGCAACTTAATTACGTATTGTCCACGTGTTCGTGGCAATCGCCTACGCTCATGCGATGATGAGGAGCTTCGTGCGTGACCAGGCGTGACAAAAGGACGCTCAGTCGATGCACCGTTCTGTTGGTGAAACTAGCTTCAGTTGACAACGCTGCCTTTCGTGGCCTACCTACAGTTGATTAAACTGCCCACGCCAACAGACAATCCAGAGTTTGTGACTCCTCGAACATTAAAGCACGGTCGATCTTCTGCGCGTGCGCAGGTCATGTGCCACCCCATTTTAGTGCATCTGCGCATGCGCAGAAGATTGATAGTGCTTTCCGCTATGGCGGGCACAAACTCCTTGAGGCTAAGCGCCAGAAATCATCGATCTCGCAGCCTAGGAGGGGTGGCCCGAAGGCAGGAGCGGATCATTTGGGGGGATCATAGATTTTTCTTAAATAATAAACATATTTGTTGTTATATTCTATATTGTTTATGTACTGTAGATATGATACTACACAATATATTTGTGTACATTATTACATAATTCGAACAGAAATATTTATATCAATTTTGCCAAATGAAGGAGGGAAAACGAAAACCCTACGACTTTTGGGGGGCATAGCCCCCCATGACGTCGCCAGTGCCCAAAGGCCGCTGCACCATCAAATAACTGAAATTTAAGTATAAGATACCTTTTAATAGCGCTACCGACCATTTCACCATTCATTCTGTGATCATTCCCCACCTACCATTTTATATATAAATTTAGGAAACTAATGTTTTCGAATCTCACTTCTTTTAATCTGTGAAAGTCACCTCTACGAAATTTCAAAGCAGCCTCGCAAACTGCATCACATTAACCACAATCTACATGACAGAGGAAGTAATTTAGGGAAATGGGTCACCCACGTCTGATACTCTGGGTATGCTACAATTGTTGCCAAAACGCGTAGGGCCTGATACGGCCTAGTGGGGAATGTCATGATATTGAAAAGAGGCTTGAGAATCAAACTGTATTAAAATTTTAAAATCAGATCACATAAGCTTACGTACGAGCACAGGAGCCATCCCCATATAGAAAACTAGTTTTCAATTTAATTCCACTTTATTTGTTATGATTGGTTGGGTGTGAGTCTCAAAAGGAAGTATTCCACAGAAATATGGGATGTGCAAGGTAACAATTACATATTGCTCATTTTTGTATTTCATCCTAAGCATATAATTTGAATTTCTGTGTAAATGAAAAATGAATAGGAGAAAAGAAAACGTTCGATGTCTAGGAGCTTCAAATTTTGCAATGAAACAAGCAAAAAGATTCAGACATCCAGCATTTTTTGTTAACATTAACAGATGAAGGACACTACAGTCATCACGGAGGTCACAGACAACGAACTTTTATGCATGAAACGTTGAAATACATTTGCAGAACAGTTTCCCACTGTTAACTCAAAACCGGCAAAATCGAAACTTTGTTTGCTCCAATTTAAATGATTTGATTAAGACTTCTACTAAGACATCCGCACTACTTTCTTAAAGTGTGTCAACAAGCCCCCTACGCAATTAGTATGCTCTGATCTGAAGGGGGCGAGGGAATGGATTCAGCGTTTTTCTAAGGGCGCCATGATGTGTTCGAGCAGTTTTGTCACGAATGTTTGGGAATAATATGTCTCTGCGCCTCAACTGCATGGCACGAGATTATTAGAACTACTAGTGTCGGGTTTGTCGATGTTTTCAGGAACCTGTTCGTTACAGGACATGAAATGCGTATTTTGATCATGCAAAAAAAGAGGACGAGAACAGAACAATAAAATTTACAGGGATACTAAACATCATAACAAATGTTCTTTATTAGTTGTGTAGTCCCCCTGCGTAATCCTATCGCTCTTGTAAGTTGCTGCTCCCTGGTGACGAGGTGGAGAACTGCGTGGAGGAGAGGCCTCATTGTGCTGCGGAGTCTCCCCTGGTGTCAACCGCCTCGCCAACAGAGCG